TCTGCAGGCCCCTCTCAGGCACAGACTCACTGGGAGTTTCTGGGCCCCTTTACCATTGGCCACAGGACAGTCGCAGCTTCTCTCTGCAGTTTGCCGAGAACTGTGGTGGGTACTGAGTTACCAGGGCCTCCGGAAGCTCATCTAACGTCTTCCAGATCTTTCTGGCTTGGAGCCTCCTCCCAGCCCATGTGTGAGTGCAGACGGGACAGGGCTGTCAGAGTGAGGACAGGAAATGGGAGTTGGGGGGGGGGGGGGCGTCCCCTCACTGAGCCTCCCTCTCCTGGCTCTGCTCTGTGAGGGCAGGGACAGGAGTCAGGGCCCATGGCTGCCCTCGGGGACCGCCCAGCCAGGTGTGGGCACTGGAGGCCTTTCTAACGGGTGCCCCTGCCCGTGGGGTGGGGACGACACCCAGACTGTGTGAGAGGGGCGGCACCCGAGGGGGCTGGAGGTGGCGTCTGCGACAGCTGCTCCGTGGGGTGACCCTGAGCCTGAGGGCACGTGGGACCAGGGTCTCGGGGGGCAGGCGGGTTTCCTTCCTCACGTCCTATCCTGTTAGAGCCTCATGCGAGGGTATGTTTGTGTTGGTTTTGGAGAGAAACAGAGAGAAGCAGCGATTGGTTGCCTTTCGCACACGCCCTGACCGGGGACCCGCAGCCTGGCTGTGTGCCCTGATTGGGACTCGAACCCACAACCTGTTGGTGCCCGGGTGACGTCCGCTCACTGAGCACCGGCCACACTCGTTCATGGTCAGCTTTGTTTCCATTTCCAACCCAGCGTCGGCCGAAGGACCAGGGCTTGAGTCAAGGTTACTCCAGGTCAGAAGATTCCCTGCACAGCAGTGAACGGCCGTCGTGTTTGGAAGCGGAAGCCACACGACAATGTGCTTTGTGTGTGAAGCAGTCACTTGCCCACTTCCCCCGTCTTGTGCTTTTATTACTGAACTCGTTAAAGCAGGACCTGGGGGTGATGGGCACATGCCAGGCTGAGTCCTAAGTCAGAACCGTCCGGTTTAAAATGCATCGGTCAGTGCTGGTCCTCAGGCGTGGCTCTCGGCTCGGGAAGGAATGGGCACAGCTGTGAACACCTGGGCCCCCGCGGGCGAGGGCGTTGGGGCGGCAGGAGGCGGCGTGGTCTCAGATGGGCGCCCGTGTGCGCTGCCTTCCCTTCCATCCTCGGGGGAAGGGCGCCACCTAGCGAGGGAAGGTTGCTAGATGCGGTTCACCTTGAGTTCTTGCTTCCGGGCGTGCGCTGCAGTGGATGCCACACGTGCCAGGGCAGTCAGCTCCCCCCTGAGCCCTCCCAGGGGTCAGCCAGGCGGCAGGTGTCTCAGGGGGAGCTTGTGTCTCCAAACCAGCTGTGCCGACAGCATCGGAGCAGCGTGAGCCAGCACCTTGCCAGCCGAAAGCCCCCCTCCCGCTCCAGGTGCTCACGGGGTCCTGTCGCTCGGGGAGCCCAGGACCTGGAGGGGTGGGAGCACAGGACACGGCCAGGCTCTCCTGGGACCCTGTCCCCGAGGGGACCGTGCGGGCGCTGTCCACACGGCTGGGCCCCAGGTCGTCCGAGAGGTTCCTGGGTTGCAGACCCACACGCCTGCTTCTGGGGGTTCCTGATGAGAAGAAGGTGGTGTCTCCGGGAGAGGTGAGTGTGGAGCCGGCGAATGCACTCGGTTCTACGGGAACTTTTCGAGGCCTGAGCTGCCGTTGGCACCTGGGCCGTGTTTGGCTCCATTGGGCGCCAGGCACCATTGTTCCCGCCCCCTCGTCCCTCAGGCTCGGCAGATAGAAGCGCCCCGGTTGTGCAGTCGATGGGTCTCCACGTGCAAAGGGGCCCCTTTCAGTCCCGCGTGCTGGGGGTCTCCTCGGCGTCCAGACTTCTTAAGAGAAAACGGCTCGTCAGGGGGTTTTGGCCGATGTCACCGTCTTCACCGCAGACCTAAGCCCTCGGCAGAGGGAGCGGCTGGGCCGGGGACAGTCAGGACCTCCGCGGACGCCCTTCTCTCAGGATGGCCTGCGCTGGCGACACTCCTGTCTCCGGGCCGGCTGTCGGTCTCTCCCGCGGTTGTTCGCGGTGCCGTCGGGCGCTGAGGAGGTGCTGGGTCTGGGGAAGCTGAGGGGTCTGTGTTGAGGGGACAGCAGCCGGCATAAGTTTCTGCTCTGGGTTTTCCTGCTACGCCTGTTGACCAGCTGAGCCAGAGGGTGACAGGGAGGGTCCCGGGAGGTGGCTGCAGCCTGCACCCGCGCCCTGGGCTGGAGGCGGACACGCTGCCTTGCCCGCGTGGGGGGACGCGTCCGACCCTCCCTCTCATGTGTACGTATCACTCGTCTCTCACACACCTAGCACCGAGGGGGATTCTTGGAAGGAAACACACGTTTAGACAAACACTGTGGCAGGTTGCATCCTTTTCCTCGCTCACGTCCGGTCCATGTTCGGAGGTTAAGGAAGAGGCTGCTCACAGGCCCGTTTCTCCAAAGGTTTCTGAAGGTTCTTGTCAAGCATCAAAGACACAGCAAAGGTGGAGTCAACAGTGGGATGTTCAGCTCGAATATCAAAGAGCACAGAGCGCCTGGAGGCTGCGGGCCAGCCCGAGGCAGGTCACTGGCCTGTGGGGTCCCAGGTGCTGCCGAGGTGAGAGCCGGAGGTGAGAGCCGGGTCTGCTCTGGGCCGGGCCGAGGTGACTGGTGCTTGGGTAGCAGCGTTTCTGAAAAGGGCTGAGTTCGAGGAGCAGCATCCGGGACAGTTGGCGGCTCCTGGCGGCCTCGGCCCATTGGGCCTGCGGGGCCTTCTCTTTCCGTCGCTGAGGTGTCATCTGATCTGTGACAGGGTGCCTCTTACAAATGCACAAAACCAGTGTCTGTCCAGGCCTGGCTGCTGTGACTTGTCGCGTGAACATTCCCATCGATTTCGGTTCCTAACTTGGGGCCCGTCGGTGAGCTCATGGGGCTTCGGCCGTCAGACCTGACCACACGCTGGCTCGTCTCCTCTGATTTGTGTTGTGCTGACGGCGAGGTTGTCTCCTTGGCTGCTGTGCAAAACCAGTGTTTTCTCCCTGCAGGTGCTACTCTCCGAGGACCTTCATTTCCTCGGCCCTGACCTTGATCTGCCCGATTTTCCCAGGTCCCTGTGGGCTTGGCTGACCCTGCGCGTCTCGGCCGCGCCTGGCTGCTCCCCGCCAGCTGGTGTGTCTGTGGCCTCGAGCCCCCCTCCCCCGCAGGTCTTCGCGTCGCCCTGACCGGCGCCCACACGGGTGCTGTCCCTTCCTGTCCCCGGCTCGTGGTGCCGGGGCCAGTCGCGCTCCTGCGGAGGGTTGTCCTACGTTCCCCTGTGAGCGCACGGGGGCGTCTGGGACGTCTCAGCGCCACTGCGGACGGCCGTCCTGGGGTGCGTCCCGGACCCGCCTGGGCACAGGCACAGCGGGAGGGAGGCTGGGACCGAGAGGGAGGCTGGGACGGACCCGCCGCGGGTGCTGGGCTCCGAGGGGTGAGGAGGGCAGAGGGCTGCCGTGTCGGGTCTCGGGCAGGAGCACAGCCGGGCGTGGCACTCGCTCCGGTCTCGCTCGTCCGCCGCCGGTTGGTCCGCGCGCCCTTTGCCTCCCTCGGTGACCGGCGACCCCGGAGCCCGCGGAGTTGCCAAGGGGACTTCCCCGCGAGGCAGCCGCCTCACGCGCACGACTCCTGGATGTTGTGGTCAAGAAAGGTGCCTTTTCATCATCAGAGTCTTGAGGAGGATTAAACAGAAATGTGATTCACGAGAGAAAGCAGCCCAGACTCTTCTTCCTTCGCTCCTGTCTGCTTCTGCCCCGTCCCTTCCTGGCGGCGGCTCCGGAGTGTATGTCCGTCTCTGACCTCTGCCGGCGCGGAGGGTCTGTAGCGCACACACTGCGCTCTCGCCGCACGGGACGCCGGCACATCCCTGCCCGCGAGGCGTGTGCCGTGAGCACAGTGGGGCGGCTGCGCTCCGCTGAAGGGCGATCGGAAGCCACTGCCTCGGTGGTCTGGCCCGGCCCAGTGACTCCGCCTTTTGTGAACTTCCTGTTGTTGTGTCTGCAGGGACTGCAGAGCGCCTTTACTGTGCGCTAATTTAGAAATAGGAAAGTCTTTCGAACGTTCTTCCTGTTTTCTTTGGAATTCTTTATACATCCCGGAGGCACAGGGAAACTGTGGGCTAAACGGCTGCGTGTTGTCACGTGTGCTGAGTACACCTGAGCCCGGCCTTATTCCCAGGACTCGGTGATTAGAAGTGACAGCCGCCACTCTGACTCAAGCCCACCAGCTTCGGTCCAGGTCCCGCCACCCCCAGCTGTGTCCCTGCCAGGGCTCCCGGGCCCCAGGCCCCAGCAGTGCCGCCTGGGGGGGGGCTGCTGGGAGGGAGAAGTGTGTGCCCCCCATGCCATCACCCGATCCCTTAGGACATGTCCGTGTCTCTCCCGCCACTGGCTGTGGACTAACAGTGTTCCCAAGCTCAGGACGAACCATCTAAGAAATACATCAAAGTTAGAGGGGACCGTAGGGTTCTGCTTGATCATTTCTGAGTTTCCCTGGGTGAGTGCTGGTGAGCAGGATGGGTTGGGGCCGTGGTCGGCAAACTGCGGCTCGCGAGCCACATGCGGCTCTTTGGCCCCTTGAGTGTGGCTCTTCCTAAGCCTTAGGAGCACCCTAATTAATTTAATAACAATGTACCTACCTATATAGTTTAAGTTAAAAAACTTGGCTCTCAAAAGAAATGTCAATCCTTGTACTGTTGATATTTGGCTCTGTTGACTAATGAGTTTGCCGACCACTGGTGGGGGCCTTCCTGTTCCGTGCTCCCCGGCAGCCCTAGCACCGGCGCCTGTAAACTCTGCAGTGAGCAGGACGCGGCCCCAGTGATGCTCACACGCCCTCTGAAGTGCCCGGGTGTAGCCGTGACCTTTCTAGTTACGTGTCCATGGAAAGTATAAACTCTTGTTTTACTTGTTCTCCCAAATGATTTCTCACCTGTCACCCTCTGCCCGCCCGCTGCAGGCCGGAGATGGAGAGCAAGGACACGCTGCGGGGGCTGCACAGGATGGAGGACCGGCCGGAGGAGCGGGTGATCCGCGAGAGGCTGAAGGCCACCTGCATGCCCGCCTGGCGGCACGAGTGGCTGGAGCGCCGGAGCCGCCGGGGCCCGGTGGTGAGTGGGGCCGCAGGGCGGGAGGAGGGGCGTCGGCTGGGAGCTGGTGGGACTTCAGTCCAGGTGCACAGGCGGTTTGCTTGCTCTTGTAGCTGCTGACCCTGCTCACTGAGTCCCGGACACGGGCTGGTGGGCGGGAGCCAGGAGTGGGAGCCTGCGGGCCGGAACGCTTGGGCAGCACTGCCCCTACTGCCAGCACCCGAAAGCCTTAGCATCCCACTGGTCTTAGAACTTTAAAAGGAAAAGCAGTCTTTCCAGTTTCTTCTGATGCTTTATCTCTAAGGTAGGATCCAATGATCTTAATTCCAGGAATCTTTCAGGAAATCAGAAAACATGAAGTAGACTCGGGTTTGAGATCAATTCAAAGGATGCCCAGGTGGGGGCAGCAGCCAGAGCCCAGGTTAGGAGGGGCCGTGATTTTCCCTGTAAAGTCCAGGCGGCCTCAGAGGCGTGGCGGGTCGGCCCAGCCACCCAGCGGAGCAGCCGTGGTCTTTCTGCAGGTGGAGGGGGCGCCTTCGTTTGTAGAAAGCACATCTGTGAGGCGCAGGGAAGCCGCGCAGCAGGAGGGCAGGCCTGCCTCAGGCCCGGGACGCGCTGCCCCCGCCTCACGGAGGGCCAGGGCCCAGCGTCCAGGGCCCCAGGCCCCGTGCTCACCACAGTGTTCGCTCCTTCTTTACGAACAGATGCCATTGGAGATGCATGTGTGCCCACGTGTGCATGTGTGTGTGTGTGTCTTGGGCAGGGGATTGGCTAGAATCATAAAAGTTACCAAGCAAACCGTTCATTTGGTATTGGCAACCCCTCAGCCACAGCCCTGCCCAGTGATTAACTAGCCCTGGATTCACCCCATGTGCCTGTTTAACTTTAAACATGAATAAAAGCAAGAATTTCATTCCTCGGTCACACTGGCCGCATTGCAGATGCTTGATGGCCAGTGGTCGGCGGAGACGGAGCCGGGCTGGCCGGCTGAGCTGGGATTGGCCTGAGGCCGTAGGGCTGGGTCTGAAAGCCCAGGTTTAGGAACGGCAGGTTTGGTAAACTGCATCCCCTTCGGAAACGATAGACATTTCCCCAGCGTCTGTGGGGGAGACAGCTTGCCTTCGTGGTTGAAGTCCTGCCAAGTGACAGCGGATGAGCTGCCGTTCGTGTGTGCCGTGAGCCTCATGGGTTCATGGTCTGTGACCTTCAGGTTTGCTTCCTGTGTTTCTAAGTCATCGGAACACTGGCTTTTCCTTCAGGTGGTAAAGCCAATCCCTGTTAAAGGAGACGGGTCTGAAATGAACAACGTGGCAGCTGAGTCGCAAGGAGAGGCCCAGGCGAGCGTGTGCCCGGCTCCCAAAGGCCGCCGCAGCCCGTCCCCCGGCGGCTCTCCGGCCGGGCGCCCGGTGAAGGCCGAGTCTCCCGGAGTGAGGAGGAAGCGCGCGTCCCCGGTGCCGGTAAGTTCATGTTTAGCAAACGTGTTGTTTCTGGGACCCTCAGACGCGTGTGTAACTGACCGCCCGCCCGGGAGAGGGTGGACTCAGGTGCATCGGACACGCGTTCGGTCCCGTGATGCCAGACATGCAGTGCCCCGTGGCAGCTGGCAGGACTTGGGGGTGTTGTTTCTTCGGAGAAGGGAGCCATTGTCCTAATACACGCGATGCTGTGCCGTCTCAGAGCGGGAGGACCACGCCTCCGCGCAGAGCCCCGTCCCCCGACGGCTTCTCGCCGTACAGCCCCGAGGAGACCAGCCGCCGGGTGAACAAGGTGATGCGGGCCCGGCTCTACCTGCTGCAGCAGATCGGCCCCAACTCCTTCCTGATCGGAGGCGACAGCCCAGACAACAAGTACCGCGTGTTCATCGGGCCGCAGGTTGGTCCGCGTGTCTCTATTCCGACCGCCACCCGCTCAGGTTATGCACTACAGCTTTCCGAAATTCAGTAAACTAACGCGTGAGTTTAAAATATATTTTGGGCTAATAAACAATTTTTGTTGTTTTTCCCATCGATTTTAGAGAGAGTGGGAAGTCAGGGAGAGAAACATTGATTAGAGAGAGACATCATTGGTTGCCTCCTGCACATGCCCTGACCCGGGCTGAGGATCAAACCTGCAATTCATATGCATAACCATGGACACAGACAATGGCGGGGGGAGGGAGGCAGGCTGAAAGGGGTCAAAGGGATTAAAAAAAGGACATATGTAATACTTTCAACAATAAAGAATTATTTTTTAAAAAAACTGCAACCCGCCGAAACCGGTTTGGCTCAGTGGATAGAGCGTCGGCCTGCGGACTGAGGGGTCCCGGGTTCGATTCCGGTCAAGGGCATGTACCTGGGTTGCGGGCACATCCCCAGTGGGAGATGTGCAGGAGGCAGCTGATCGATGTTTCTCTCTCATCGATGTTTCTAACTCTCTATCTCTCTCCCTTCCTCTCTGTGAAAAATCAATAAAATATATTAAAAAAAAAAAAAAAAAAAAACTGCAACCCAAGTACGTGCCCTTGACTGGGAATCAAACCCAAGACTCTGGTGGCGGGCCAATGCTCTAACCACTGAGCACACCAGCTAAGGCCGGCTAATACCTATTTTTAATGTATTTATGAAGATTTTACTCTTGACTTAGTATACTTTAGACTACAAATTTGTTCTATTTAATAAATTTACCAAAAATCAGAGATTAATTTGTGGAGATAGCTGTAGACTTTCTTGCCTGTCAATTAATAGAAACTTGAGTACAATAGACTTGGAGATACTTTTTAAGAAGCGCTCGCTGAGCCTTCTAGAGCACATCCCCGTGTCCCCGCAGAACTGCAGCTGTGGGCGTGGCGCGTTCTGCATCCACCTGCTGTTCGTCATGCTCCGCGTGTTTCAGCTGGAACCTTCCGACCCGATGCTGTGGAGGAAAACTTTAAAGAATTTTGAGGTAATTTTAAATAAATGCTTTAGAGTCAACTTGTCAACAAATTTTTATGATATATTTCTAAAAATTTTCTATGAGCTCTCAATTTAAGCTGTCATTTAGTAGGTTCCAGGCTATAAGTAATTCTCTTATAATCCATTGATGAATTAGTCTTCTAGTCCGAAAACCAGTAAGCGCTGCGGCTGTAGTGACACTGTCCGTGGGAAGGTGTGTATTAAGACCAGTAAGCGCTGCGGCTGTAGTTACACTGTCCGTGGGAAGGTGTGTATTAAGACCAGTAAGCGCTGCGGCTGTAGTTACACTGTCCGTGGGAAGGTGTGTATTAAGACCAGTAAGCGCTGCGGCTGTAGTTACACTGTCCGTGGGAAGGTGTGTATTAAGACCAGTAAGCGCTGCGGCTGTAGTTACACTGTCCGTGGGAAGGTGTGTATTAAGACCAGTAAGCGCTGCGGCTGTAGTTACACTGTCCGTGGGAAGGTGTGTATTAAGACCAGTAAACGCTGCGGCTGTAGTTACACTGTCCGTGGGAAGGTGTGTATTAAGACCAGTAAGCGCTGCGGCTGTAGTTACACTGTCCGTGGGAAGGTGTGTATTAAGACCAGTAAGCGCTGCGGCTGTAGTTACACTGTCCGTGGGAAGGTGTGTATTAAGACCAGTAAGCGCTGCGGCTGTAGTTACACTGTCCGTGGGAAGCTGTGTGTGTTCTTCATTCTGAAGCTCTTAGGTGTCTTCATGAAAAACTTTGAAACAAAACACAAATAATTCAACCTCTAGGACTGTTCCTGTGTATATTATGGCACAAATGTCATTGTTACTCTCTCTTCAATGATAGGTTGAGAGTTTGTTCCAGAAATATCACAGCAGGCGTAGCTCGAGGATCAAAGCTCCCTCTCGTAGCACCATCCAGAAGTTCGTGTCCCGCATGTCCAGCTCCCACACGCTGTCCTCGCCGAGCGCGGCCACGGCCAGTGCGGAGAGCAGGTGGGTACTGGTCAGGCACTGAAACGCTCCGTCCACTGGGCAAGGACATTTACACCAGTGAGGCCTGTGCTTCTCTTCTTTAAGAAGAAAGTTTTAATCTGAGAAATGCACAGACCGGCAGAGATGGCTGTGTCTCATGATATTAAAATTGGGAACAGCTTAAACACCCAGCGAGAAAGGTTAAAGCACACTCATGTTCCGAATTGTTTGTGCAGCCATTGAAGTTATACTTTTGAAGAATATTGATCAGCATGAAACAGAGTCCAGGTCCTAATACTATAGGCACGAACCCCATTTTTATATGTAAAAGGCATTGAAGGTGCATAACTGTCGGAATGAGTAAAAGCTGTACCAGGTACTAATAGGTGGTGTTCTCACAGGGACTTTACACGTTAAACACTTGGGGCTTGGAGGGCGGTGAGCCTCGCCCGTGCTGCTCAGCTCTGCCCTTGTAGCTGAAGGAGCCACAGAGGATCTGTGAGTGGACAGAGGTGACTCTGTTCCAATAAAACTTAATTGACAACCTGGCCACAGGCTAATACTAGTCCCTGCCCTCTGCTCAGATGATTTCAGAAGCCACTCAGCACATCATGAGGGTCCTGAGAGCCCTCTCGCCGGCTGCACCGCCCGCAGGTCATGGGGGCCACCCTCTCCCAGCCGTGTCTTTCGGGACCAGGGCATGTCATAGCCTAATCCATCGTATCTGTCAGACTATTCGCCCCAAAGGACAAATGGCATCATGAATTCAATATGCACTTGGTACTTCTCTCATGGTTATTGGTTTTATTGCCTTTTTATCTTCTTTGCCCATTTTACTAGTGAGTTATTAGTATTTTTCTTACTGATTTTTAAAGCACTTTGTATATTAGGAATATCCATATGTGTATATAATATAATTCAAGTATACGCAATAAAGTGGCAATTTTGCCACAAATGGTACCATCCTGTACAAGTTTGAGTTCTATCATGCTGCTTTCTTTTCTTTTATCTTTACTGTTGAAAGTATCACAGATGTCCCCCCTTCGCTTCCCCCATTGACCCCTCCCCAGGCCCTCACTGCTCTGCTGTCGGTCCATGGCTGGGCATCTGTGCATCTAGTCCTTTGGTCAATCTCTTTCTCCCCAACCCCTTCCCTCTGAGATTCCGCAGTCTTTCATGCTTCCATGTCTCGATCTATTTTGTTCATCAGTTATTTTGCTCATTCGATTCTACATATGAGTGAGATCATGTGATACGTGTCTTCCTCTGACTATTTCACTCAGAAATCTGCTTTCACCCCCATATGGTCTACGTGGGCATCTTCCTGGTTACTGTTTGTGGGCCCTGGTCCTTTGTAAAGGCGTCATGGTGCCTGGTGGTAGCTGTGCCGCTCTCCTCCCGTCAGCGTGTCTGGGGACCTGCCTTTCTTAACCTCCTGCTGTTCATGTGGTTGGCTCTTCCCGTCGTGCTGAACAGCGCTGCCGTGGACATGCCCAGGGCGCGTATTGTCTCTGTTCCTTCACACCATGTTCTTGAAAGCCCAGGTGAAGGTGTGTGCGTTAGAGATGTGTTCTAGCAGCCATGGGCCGTTCACACACCCAGCAGAGGTGCGAAGTGCCTTCACTCTGGGGTGCGGACTGCTGAGCCCTCGCAGCCTTGAGGTGGGGCGTGTGCGTGTGCGCGCAGAGTCACAGCAGTTTGTTTATTCAGAAGATGCCGGGCAGAATGTCGGGTTACTTACCTCTGAAGTTGTGGTTCCTACGTCGTGTCCATAGCCAGGAAAGGCCTGCAGAGGCGCACGGTGTGAGTCTGAAGGAAGATGGAGTGACGGGAGAAAACCGTAGCCAGGGGCTCGCACACGGGTGCGGCCAAGCGGGATTCCCCGGTCGAAGTCTGAGGCCACGTGCCCGTGGCGCTGGCTCCGCCCCTCGCCCGGCTGACGCTGCCCTCTCGCCCCCGCCCTCTGCCCCTGCAGCCTCAAGGACGAGGAGGAGCAGCTGTGCCCCATCTGCCTGCTGGGCATGCTGGACGAGGAGAGCCTGACCGTGTGCGAGGACGGCTGCCGCAACAAGCTGCACCACCACTGCATGTCCATCTGTAGGTGGCGCCACCGCCCGCCTCCGCGACCTGCCCACGGTCCGCCCTCCCCTCCGCTGACTTGTTAGGGCCCCTGACAAGTGTGCACGGCTTGGAGGTTCGGTCCGTCATGAGCTGAGCTGTGGTAGTGAAGAGATGGAGTCCCGCGGGAGGGCCGGCCGGACGGAGTGCAGAGAGGAAGCGCAACTAGGATCTGGAAGGCGCACACGCAGGGGCGAGGGGGGGGGAGGGCGGGCAGATCACAGACCAACCTGGGGAGGATGGGCCAGGGCCCTGAGTGGCAGGCGGTTTGAAACACAGTAGCAGAGCCGTGCGATCGCTGATGACGTGGCACTTCCTCTGCTTTGCTGCTTTCGGGTCGGTGCTGCGTCCGAGGTTCCCTCTGTCTGACGCGGTACTGGCCACTGTGCACAGTCACGACGCATAATGACGAATAAAGCGGTTTATCCTCTTCCCAGGGGCAGAGGAATGTCGAAGGAACAGGGAGCCTCTGATCTGTCCCCTCTGCAGGTCCAAGTGGCGGTCCCACGATTTCTACAGGTGAGTCCGGGGAACGGCTGCAGGGTCCCCGCGTGTTAGCGCATCTGTCGGTTATCGTCAGCAAGTTGTTGCTTTTTCACTTAGTCACGAGCTGTCAAGCCCCGCGGATTCCCCGTCCTCCCTGCGGGCGGCCCCGCAGCCCCCGGCACAGCCTCCGCTGGCGGGACCGCAGCACAGGGCCCAGGAAAGCAGCTCCAGCCTCACGCACTACGGGGCTCAGCACATCCCTGCTGCCTACAGAGACCTGGCTGAGCCCTGGATCCAGGTGAGCCCGGCGTGTCTCCCGGGTGTTGACAGTAAGGACGGGCTTGCTCTCTGCCTGGAGACATTGGCCCCTTTGGCGATGGGGCTGTGCCGCTTTATGGAGCGTCCGCGTCAGCGTCTCCTGCAACTCCTGTCTGAGCAGAGACAGACAGTTATCCAGGCTCCAGGCCTCAGGGCCCTCCTGCCCATGCCCAATCCATCCCGCTGGGTCCGCCTAGGTCTCACCTGTTGCCATCGAAACTCAGCTCCTCCTCCCTGTGCCGCCCGCCCGCTTAGCAGGTGCTTCGCTGCCGAGTGTGTGAGAGCTGGCAGGCGGCGTGTCTCCTCTTGGCCATTTTTATAGGAAGGGTTTCCTTCCTCCACCTTCTCTGCCGACTGAGGCTTTTTGTCCTCGGTCAGTTGGAATTTCAGTTGCTTGTTTAGTCAGTTAGTTTTAAATAGAATTCAAAGCAGACAGTGTCTCCAGGAGACAGAGGAGTGGAATATTTTTGATAATCTGTTAAGTTCTGTTTCCTGCTCTTACATTTGTAGACAAGCACAGTAACTCATCAAGCTTGTACACCATTAGGACTTCTTCCCTTTTTCACTGCATATCCTGCAGCTTTTGAATTCTCTGTTCTCAGCAACCTATTATGAATCTAGTAACATCTGCAAACTTAGCGATGCAAAACTTAACATCTGCAAACTTAACATCTACAAACTTACTTCTTTTGCCTGGTTCACTCATGGCGTTTGCATAGGCCCTCGCCTGCCCCTTTCCGAGGCCCCAGGAGAGCTCTGGCGTCGACACAGAGATATTGGCGATTCCAGCCGTGGTCTGGTTGGTTTTGCGGAAGCTCTAGGTTGGACGAGGCTGCATGTTCCCAGTTTCTGAGGAAGAAGATCCCGGGAGACAGAACTAGGGCTTAGCCATACGCTAACATGCGGGCGCAGAATCGGTCCCTATTTCTTGTTGATTCGTTTGCTTTTATGTCACTTTGTTAAACACACAGGTAAATACATCATTTGTTTTCCCCAGAACTGTCTCTTCATCTCTGATATTTAGAAATCTTCCATGTAAGTTATCGTAGGTGTTAAGTTTACTTGTAGCTGATTGGCCCGTCATCTCGAGACCCAGTCCCCTTCCTGCCGGGTTCTCGGTGGCTTCACAGGTGATGACACGCACCTTCACGCAGACGCCGCATCACCCTCGCTGGTTTGAACACGAAGTTTCCTTTCGTCTTGGATTTTCACTCCTTAGTTACAGTCCCGCCTGTTCTGTCTAGTTTATCTAACTCTTGTACAAGACGAATTCAGGTAAAAGCCTTGGACTCACCACAGTCACCTGTGGGACCAGGCCCCTCCCACCCACCCTGGGGCCTTTCTTGAGGCGGCTTTTCTTGATCTTGCTTGTTTTTCTCCATAAACTCCCATGACGCAAACACGGAGCTGGGTCTTCCCTGCCGTGTTGCTGTTAAGCAGAGGAGCCCAGAAATAAGTGTGACACGCGTGTGCCCATCCACTCACTGGAGTCACGCCTGAGTTCACCTCAGCTAATAATTACAGTTCAACCTGAGGCTAAAATTCCTTCTCATGACTTTTTAATTGATTTCAGAGAGAGAGAGAGAGAGAGAGAGAGAGAGAGAGAGAGAGAGACATCAGTCGCCTCCTGCGTGAGCCTTTTGGAGCGAAGGGCGATGCTCTGACGAGCCGCCCGCCCGGCGGGTCCTCCGCACGGTTAAGTGGCTGCGCGCACTCAGAAAGTGTGTGGTGCGGGGCAGGCTTAAGGAATACCCAGCCTCCCGGCCGGCGCGGCTCAGGGGCTGAGTGTCAGCCCAGGAACCGGGAGGCCGGGGTTCCCTTCCCGGTCGGGGCACAGGCCCAGGTTGCAGGCCCGATCCCCCGTGTGGGGCGTGCAGGAGGCAGCCAATCCATGATTCTCTGTCATCATTGATGTTTCTCTCTCTCCCTCTCCCTTCTTCTATGAAATCAATAAAGAGATTTTTTAAAGAAAAGAAATGCCCAATTTATCAATTAAAAATAACATCTAAAAAATTACAGTGGCGTGGCTCAGTGGTTGAGTATGGAACTACGAACCAGGAGGTCAGGGCTCGATTCCCGGTCAGGGCACAAGCCCGGGTTGTGGGCTTGATCCCCAGAAGGGATGTGCAGGAGGCAGCGGATCCATGATTCTCTCTTATCAGTGATGTTTCCATCCCTCTCTCCCTTCCTCTCTCTGAAGTTGAAAGCGCACACACGCAGACACACATGCCTGGGAGAAAGGCCAGTTTTCCTTGGGGGTGAGAGGAGGCTCAGCCGCTCCTGCCTTCCACTGAGGGGCTGTGTCTGGTTGCAGGTGTTCGGGACGGAGCTCGTCGGCTGCTTGTTTTCTAGAAACTGGAACGTCCGCGAGATGGCTCTGCGGCGACTCTCCCACGACGTCAGCGGGGCGCTGCTGCTGGCCCACGGGGAGAGCACCGGGCACTCGGGGGGCGGGGGCCGGAGCAGCCCGGGGGCCGGGGCCAGCAGCGCGCCCTCCCCGCCCGCGGGCGACGTGGTGGGGGCCTGCTGCAGCGTGCTGTCCATGGTCTGCGCTGACCCTGTCTACAAAGTGTACGTTGCCGCTTTAGTAAGTAGCTTCCCTCCCTAACCATGTCGTGGGCGGGTGGCTAGTGTTCGATTGTGTCTAGTAGCGTTTTTAAGACCCAGGAACACATCACCTCATTTAACTAGGGAAAATCCACATTTTGTTTTCATTCCGTAATCCCGGGAAGTTGCCATTTTCCGTTTCACCCTCATCGGGTTCCCCTGTTTAACCGGGTGGGGCTTCCGCGCAGACTGCTCACTCCCCTCCAGGGCAGCCTGCCTCGCTGCCCACGTCTCTGCATTTTCCTTACTTCCCACGACCCAGCTCACAGGACGTGTGGGGTGCTAGCAGAGCGACCGGTGACGGTGAATGCGTCTGAGTAGCCATTGGGGGACGGACTTAGTGAGCACTGTGGACTCAGGAGTGTTCTCACAGACGAGGTCCCGTGACCTAACCACAGCCGCCTTGTTTTCCTGGCTCACGCGTGGGAAGTTGTCTCCGTGCGTGGATGACGTGCGAGGCTGCGTGGATCTGTGGAGGCTGGTCTGACCTTCCCCTTCTGAGTGGAGTGGAGAGCAGGTTGGGCGCAGGTTCTCGGCCTCTGCACTGTGGAGCCACGCAGCTCTTCGTGGGAGGCAGGGCTGTCCTGGGCGGGTGGGATGCCCAGCCGCACCCCTGGCCTCCACCCATGGTCCTGGGAGCACCCTCTCCTCCCATTCGGGTCTGCTGAAGTCCCAAGGTCACGATGCCCCCAGTGCAGAACTTGCGGTAGAAGAAGTCCTACCCGGTTTGGTTTGAAAACTCATTATTTTTCCTGCTCCCACTTGCAGTCTCTTCCTGACCCTCCTAAACCGCTGTGCCTAAGGCAGCGGTTCTCAACCTGTGGGTCACGACCCCTTTGGGGGTCGACTGACCCTTTCACAGGGGTCGCTTAAGACCATCGGAAAACACATCTATAATTACATATTGTTTTTGTGATTAATCACTATGCTTTCATGATGTTCAATTTGTAACAATGACATTGGGGGTCACCACAACAGGAGGAACTGTATTAAAGGGTCGCGGCGTTAGGAAGGTTGAGAACCGCTGGCCTAAGGCATCTTCTGGTTGAGTGGTGCCCGCAGGTTCTGAACCTGCATTTGGGGCCAGAATTGAGTGACCTCATGCGTTAGTGTCCACCTAGGACACTTGAATGAGCAGCTCGTACTGGGCTGGCCTGGGCAGTCTGGACGGTGGTCCAGGTGGTAGAGACGGCAGCTCCCGTCCTGGGGCTGCCACCTGCTGGTGTGTGACTGCAGGGCTCCCAGACCAGCTCCCCCGGCTGTGAGTGATGTCACCGCTCGGATTGGGAGTAGAAGCCCCTCGCCGTAGTGCGGAGCACAGCATGGGAGCGCCGAGCGCAGATGAGCCCCTGCTGGGCCTGGAAGCATCACTTGGCTGTCCCGGCTCCGAGAGGGTCAGGGATCTGTTGCCTTGGCAGCATGTCCTGACGTGTGTCCGTGGCAGGTGGGCGGGGCTGTGAAAAGTTCCCTTGACACCAAGAGACACAGTCACAGGAGGCTGGCTGGGTCTGCAGGGACAGGCCGGGAGCTCCGGTGCTGTAGCCGTCAGGAGTCTGTGCGATCACAGGAGGAACATCACTTCCCAGTGGATCTCCCAGGCGTTTCTCGTGGCTCTGGACGCGTAGAGTACAGACCCAGCTTCTGACCTCTTCCCACTGTTTCCAGCACGAACCCGCAGGCACACCTGACCACTTAGTCCACACTGCTGGCTGGCTCTTCTCGGGCAGGTGTGTCCCGAGTGGCTGTGCGCTGTGGGCGTGCAGGGCCGCGGACTGTGCCCTGTGCTGATCCTGTAGAGCAGTGGTTCTCCACCTTGGCTGCACATGAGAATCACCTGGGAATCTTTTTTAAATCCTGATTTCTGGGCCTCATCCTCCGGAAATTCTGGTTTCTTTGTGATGGGGTGGGGCCACAACATTAGTCACAAAGAAACAGAATCTCCGGAGGATGAGGCCCAGAAATCAGGATTTAAAAGAGATCCCCAGGTGCTTCTCATGTGCAGCCGAGGTGGAGAAGCACTGCTCTAGGGGGTCATGTGTCTGCTCAGTGAGCAAGGGGACTCCTGGCCGGGAGCCTTCCGCCTCCCCCCTCGCACAGGTAACATCGTGCCACTTCCCTCTGTAGCTGGGACTGTCTCCTCCGATGTGACGCTCCCCCACGACACCACAGGCGTGAGCAGCCCTGAGCAGGCCACGTGGCCGACAGCGTCACAGCGCACGCCTGTGCCTGCCCCAGCATCCAGAGCCGCCGGCAGCTGTGGCCGGTTCCTCCCGCTTTGGCTGAGGGAGCTCCATCAGGGCAGCTCCTATCCTTTTTTTTTTTTTAATCTTTTTTTGACTTCACTTTGAAACAAATCAGACTTTAAAAAGATGCAGAAATAGCTCAGAGTTCCTTCCGAGCCATCCATTGACCTTCCAGTCATTATTTTGTGTGGTTGTTGTCTATTCCTTCACCGCTGGTTGTGCTTCTCACATGGCCTCAGAGGAGCCGGTGTCGCTGATGTTTCTTAAACGTAGTTGCACTGACCCTCCGTTCCGTCCTCAGAAAACCCTGCGGGCCATGCTTGTGTACACGCCCTGCCACAGCCTGGCCGAACGGATCAAGCTGCAGAGGCTCCTGCGGCCAGTCGTGGACACCATCCTGGTCAAGTGCGCAGACGCCAACAGGTAAGGCCGCCGATGGGCCAGGCTCACCCGGCAGGGTCGGATGCATGTGACTCGGTGAGGCTGTGGGGTCCCCTGTAGAGAGATCCCCGTCTGAAGTCCCGCTGATAAGGGCGTCAGCTGTGTACATACCATAGGTGTGACCGCATCTGAGGGCGGATCCACAGCACAGGGGCCAGTGAAATCACTGCACCTGCTTCGCCTCGTTTTCCGGACCCCACAAAGCCCCTTCTGTGTCATGAACTTCCACTCTTAATTGTGTCGAACGACCCCACCCCCAGTCCCGTCTATCCCTGCATTATCCTGGAACATCGACAAGGGACAAGAACAGCCCTAACAGGGCAGAGACCCACGAGGAGGGAGGCGGGGACAGCCCAGGTGAGCAGGGTGGTGCTGGGGAGACCTCGCTGAGCAGCACGGCCAGGGAGCAGGTGTTGAGCGGCCCGTCTCCGTGTCCCCCATCCGTAGAGGTCTCCGCCCTTCTGCCCGCCGCCCTACTCACAGCTGCTGCTCACGGCCAGACGGCACGTGTGCAAGGTGTTCTCGTCGCTCAGCGAGAACACACGTCTGAGAGCCGGCGGCAAGCGGCAGCTTGTCAAGCGCATAGGAGACCATGTCGTCAGCAGTGGGACAGGCGTTTTTCTGAGACTCGTGGCTTCTGTGGCATGTGTGCTGCTGCCCGCTCTCTGCCTTCTCACAGTCAGGTGCCTGCCTGGCCGCTTGAATGAACCTCATAAGAAACACTGGGAGGAGCTTTAGTTTTGTTTTAACAAGACGTGAGCGTGAGAACACGCCCTTCACCGTATCTGCTGGCTGCTCCGGCGGCTCCGCGGTCAGCCCGGCAGGTCCTGGGCGTGACACGGAATGGGGTGAACGGCGTGCGCATGTGACGTACAGCGACGGGAACGCAGGCTCTGAGGTGGAGGGCACGGTCCTGGGAGCCTCCCTTCTCCCGAGGCCTGGCCCTCCTGCTCCCTCCGCGGGTCTCACCCAAGCCCGTCTGCCGCCTGTCGTTGCAGCCGCACCAGCCAGCTGTCCGTGTCCACGCTGCTGGAGCTGTGCAGAGGCCAGGCCGGGGAGCTGGCGGTCGGCAGAGAAATACTGACAGCCGGTAATGACTCTTCACTTCAGCTCCGCGGCCGGCGCGGTCCTCAGCGCGCTCGCCTCCCCTGTGGGCAGTCACGGGATTTCCAAGTGGTGGTGGAGCTTGACCCCATCAGCTCCCGTTAGAAACAGGACCCGAATCCAAGAGAGGAGTTCTTAAACGAACACAGCCCGGGGCACTTGTGCCGTTCGGTCGCGTTTGTTTTGTTTTACTGTCCCTGTTCCAGTCACTCTCCCCTCCCCTTGGCAGGATCCATTGGTGTTGGTGGTGTGGATTACGTCCTCAGTTGTATTCTTGGGAACCAGATGGAGCCGAACAACTGGCAGGAGCTGCTGGGCCGCCTCTGCCTGGTGGACCGGCTGCTGCTGGAGTTCCCCGCCGAGTTCTACCCGCACACCGTCGGCGCCGAGGCGGCCCCTGCCGAGCCCGTGGACGTCAGGTAGTCTCTCCCGGGGGTGCTGTCCTGTGCCCCCCACCGCCCACACCCGCCCCAAGGACACGGTCTAGATTCACGGGACCCAGAAATCAGAGGAACGTGTAGGTTACTAATGTTTGACTAACAACGGCCAACGTCCAGGCTCGTGACTTAAAAACGTCTAGACCTTGATGATCTTTTTGGAACGCACACGCACAGTTATTCCCATCTCTTTGTGTGCGTGTGTTCTGCAGTGATTAACTGTGGCTGAGACGTGTTTTCTGCAGGTATAAGAAGCTGCTGTCCCTGCTCGCCTTCGCCCTGCAGTCCATCGACCACGCCCACGCGGTGGTCGGGAAGCTCGCGCGCAGGGTCTACCTGAGTTCCGCGAGGATGGTCACCGCCGTGCCCCCCGTGTTCATGAAGCTGTTAGAGATGCTGAGTGCCTCCAGCTCCACCCACTTCGCCCGGATGCGCCGCCGCCTGATGGCGATCGCGGAGGAGGTGGACATCGCCGAGGCCGTCCAGCTGGGCCTCGAGGATGCCTGGGACGGCCGGCGTGATAGCTTCCTGCAGGCGCCGGCCCCTGAGAGCCACCCAGAGGCCCCAGGGAACAGCCCCCTGCAGGGCCCCGACCGTGCGGCGAAAACTGGAAGAGGACTGCGCCCTGCGCGGCTGAGCGCTAGCTCAGAGGACATCTCTGGTCGGCCGGCCAGCACTGCCCCGGGGCCTCCTCCCTCAGCAGCGACGGAGCAGCCCAAGCCAGCGGTGCAAGCCAAGGGCAGGCCCCTCAGCCAGTGTCTGAGCTCCTCTCCCCTGTCCCCTCACTCCCCACCAGGGCTCCCGCTCTCGTCCACCCCGGCTTCGTCGGCCCAGACCGCACCAGCGGGCCCGGGGGACGCCTCCAAGCACAGACCTCAGGGATTCGTTCCCTACAACATGCCCTCGGCGTCGCCCCCACCGCAGCGCAAGCTTTCCCTGCAGTTCCAGAGAAACTGTTCCGGAAACAGAGACTCGGACAAGCTCTCCCCCATCTTCACGCAGTCCCGGCCCCTGCCCTGCAGTAGTATACACAGGCCCAAGCCTTCTCGGCCCTCCCCCGGCAGCCCCAGGAGACAGGCCGACGCCGCGACAGGCAGCATGACCCTGGACCTGCGCGGGGCCTCCGAGGGCGGCGACAGCTTCGGCAGCGGCAGCGGCAGCGGCAGCAGCGCCGTGATCCCCAGTGAGGAGACGGTGTTCACCCCCGTGGAGGACAAGAGCCGGCTGGATGCCAGCACCGAGCTCAGCTCCAGCATCGAGGACCTGCTCGAGGCGTCCCTGCCCTCCGCTGACACCACGGTGACGTTCCAGTCAGAAGTGGCCGTCCTCTCTCCTGAGAAGGACGAGCACGACGACACCTATCAAGACGACGTGAGTCACAATCAGAAGTGCAAAGAGAAGATGGAGGCCGAGGAGGAGGAGGCTCTGGCGATCGCCATGGCGATGTCTGCCTCTCAGGACGCCCTCCCCGTGGTGCCTCAGCTGCAGGTGGAGAACGGAGAGGACGTCATCATCATCCAGCAGGACGTAAGTGCGCTCCTGGGGGGCCGGGCGCGTCCTCCAACCATGTGAGGTTAACCCGGTTCAGGCGCGAGTTCATCGCTAGAAGCGGGTCTTTCCTGTAGAATTAGTGTTTGTGTCGCTGTTGGAACAGGTAAGTCCTGCCTGTTTCAGAGGCGTTTCTGGTGGATACTGTCCATGGCGCCCAGCACTGTCCATTCAGGAGCAGTTCAGAGGGGGCTCGGGAAGCCAGAGCGAACAGGAGTAGTGTTTGCCAGGCTCACGGCACAGCTTCCTCTTAACAGTAAAGAGCTGCTTTCCTTTGCTGCACAGACGCCCGAGACCCTCCCAGGACACACCAAAGCGAAGCTGCCATACCGGGAGGACGCGGACTGGCTGAAGGGCCAGCAGATCGGCCTCGGGGCCTTCTCCTCCTGCTACCAGGCTCAGGACGTGGGGACCGGGACCTTAATGGCTGTGAAGCAGGTGAGCAGCTAGTGAGGGTGGACATGATGAAGGCTGTCACGACAGAGCATGAGCGAAGAAGAATCGTGTGTCCTGTGTGCATGTGCTTAGTTCTCTATAAGTTTTCAGAGACCTGAAGGTCAGAGTAGACATTGGCACAGCCCCGTGAGCTCTGTTACTGCTGGAGCAGGATTGTGGGAGACGCAGTCCAGGGCCTCTGCCGGCCGGGCTGCTGCTGTGCTTGTCACACCCAGAGCAGCTTCCTCCTCCCCCGCGAGGCCAGGGTGCAGGCCGTCCTGGCTTCCGGGGTTCACTTTCTGTAGTGAGCATGCTGATCGGGATGAGAAAATCATGAAGCTTCCATCTTAAAATCATTGGGCTTTTCTCACTTTCACTCTGTCTTTAGACAGTTTGAGAAAATGGGTTATATTCCTTTTTTGGGGTCACTTTCCTTATATTTCATTGCTTCTAAAGTTAGGTTCTTACTTTAAAGAGTTTTTTGTAAAGTATCTGCACTGCACCCAGGAGCATAAATGCCATTTGCTATTAATACAGAAGCTCATGTGCACCTGTCCGCTGAGATCAGATGGTCAGTGCGAACTGTGACGTGTTACTGCCACAGGTGACGTATGTCAGAAACACATCGTCGGAGCAGGAGGAAGTCGTGGAGGCGCTGAGGGAGGAGATCAGGATGATGAGCCACCTGAGCCACCCCAACATCATCAGGATGCTGGGAGCCACCTGCGAGAAGAGCAATTACAACCTCTTCATCGAGTGGATGGCAGGTGTGTGCACGGTCGAAGTCACGGACATCGTACACGGATTTAACTTTCTGCCTGATATTTAGGAAAAACGTTTTAACGAACACATTTTTATTAAATAGTTTGCACAAATCACCTCTAATGTAGTATGACAGGCTGCAAATACTTGTGTTGTCTTTCACTTAAATAAAACATTCATTACCTCTACCTTTTAAACTTTTTCAGTGTTTCTTTTAAAATGATTGTGTACACTGTTTTATAGGAATAATTTTTGAAACCTGGTAGATACAGGATCCATATTTTCCCAGGTAGCCTTCATTAATTGGACAGGTTTAAGAGATGATTTAATATGACAGTATGAAACTAAAATTGATAAACGTGTAACTTGAAAATTTTATTATAGGTAAACTAGAACTGAAGCATAAAGGTGAACCTTGTCATCTACTTCAGCAAGTGAAGACTATGTTTTTTTTGGTTTTTTAAAATATATTTTTATTGATTTGAGAGAGGGAGAGAGAGATAGAAACGTCAATGATGAGAGCGAACCATTGATCAGCTGCTTCCTGCACGCCCCTTACTGCAACCCGGGCATGTGCCCTTGACTGGAATCAAACCCAGGACCCTTTAGTCCACAGGCTGATGCTCTATCCACTGAGCCAAACCAGCTAGGGATGAAGACTGTTTTTCTTGTATTATGCAGTATACACAGTAAAACAGACTTAGGATGGAATAACTAGATAAGTGCTTGGTTTAACTTCTTAGACCTTTTGTGTTTGGAGAGTATATATCTATTTACAAATCAGCTCTTCTTTTTAATTGAAGTACACTTGACATACAGTATATATACAGGTGTACAGCGTAGTGATTCAGCATTTATATACATTTCAGTGTGATCACCACACTAAGTTTAGTAACCATCTGTCACCATACAAAATTAAGATATTGACGATTGTTCCTACCCTATACACTACATCCCTGTGACTTATAAATTTTATAGCTAAGTTTATACCTCTTATTTCCCTTCACCTTTTCTAAGCATCCTCCCACCGCCCTCTTCTCTGACAACCATCAGCTTATTCGGTCTGTGAGCCTATTTCTGTTCTGTTGGCTCATTTACTTTGTTCTTTAAATTCCACACGTCAGTGAAATCAGATGGTGTTTGTCTTTCTCAGACGCATTTCACTTAGCGTAACACTCCAGGTGCAGCCATGTTGTCACAAATGGCAAAATTTCATTTTTTATGACTCGTATTTCATTATCGGTCTATACGTTATCTTTAGCCACTCGTCTATCCTTGGACACCTAGGTGGCTTCCATATCTTAGGTATTGTTAATAGTGCTACAATGAACATAGGGGTACATATATCTTTTCAAATTAGTACTTTCTTCTTCAGATAAAAGGAGAATTGCTGGACCATATGTAATTTTATTTATTCATTTATTTATTTTTGAGGAAACTACACTTTTCCACAGTGGCTGCAGCAGTCTGCATTCCCACCAGCAGTGCACAGGGCTGCCTTTTCTCACATCCTCACCAGCACTTACTGTTTGCTGTCTTCTTGGTAACCATTCTGACAGGTGTATCTCACTGTGGTTTTGATTTTCATTTCCCTGATGATTAGTGATTGTTGGGCATCTTGTCTTATGTCTGTTCACCATCTGTATGTCCTCTTTGAAGAAATGTCTATTCAAGTCCTCGGCCCATGTTTTAATAGGATTGTTTGGTTTTCTTTTTATTTGTTGTTTAGTTTTTGGTGTTGAGTTATGTAAGTTCTTTATGTATTTTGGATCTTAACCCTTTGTGAGTATCTTCTCCCATTCAGTGGGTCGCCTTTTCATTTTGTTGGTTTCCTTTACTGTGGAAAAACTTTTTGATGTAGTCCCATTTTGCTTTTTTTCTTTTCTTTTGTTGCCCTTTCCTGAGGGAAACATCCAAAATAATATTGCTAAGACTGATGTCAAAGAGTTTATGCCTATGTTTTCTTCCAGAAGTTTTATGGTTTCAGGTCTTACATTTCGATCTTCAAGCCGTTTTGAGTTTATGTATTTGTTTGTATATGGCCGAAGAGAGTGGTCCAGTTTCCCTAACACCATTCATTGAAGGGGCTGCTTTTTTCCCTATTGTATATTCCTGCCTCCTTTGTCATAGATTAATTGACCGTATAAGTGTGGGTTAATTTCTGATCTTCCTAGTTTGTTCCATTGATATATATATATCGGTTTTTATGCCAATAACATACTATCTTGATTATTTTGTCTCATGCTACTGTTATTTCCTCTTTGATTGTTTAGTAGCATGTTGTTTAGTCTCCGCATGTATGTGTTTTTCCCAGTTTTCTTCCTGTAGTTGATTTCCAGTTTCACACTGCTATGGTTGGAGAGGATGCTTGATATGATTCCAATCTTCTCAATGTATTCAGACTTCTTTTGTGGCCTAATATCTGGTCTGTCCTGTGCACTTGAAAAGAAGGCATATTCTGCTGCTTTTGGGTGAAATGCTTTTAAAATATCAATTAAGCCCTGACTGGTTTGGCTCAGTGGATAGAGCATCGGCCTGTGGACTGAAGGGTCCCAGGTTCGATTCCAGTCAAGGGCATGTGCCTGGGTTGCGGGCACATCCCCAGTGTGGGATGTGCAGGAGGCAGCTGATCGATGTTTCTCTCTCATCGATGTTTCTAGCTCTCTATCCCTCTCCCTTCCTCTCTGTAAAAAATCAATAAAATATATTTAAAAAAACATATATATATCAATTAAGTCCATGAAGTCTAATGTATCATGTAAGGCCACTGTTTCCTGTTGATTTTCTATCAGGATGATCTGTCCATTGCTGAGTGTCAGGTAGACCAGCTGCACTTCCCAGTCTGTAAGAGTGGTCTTATGTAGAAGATGTTTTGTGGGGCCGTGTCGTCATCTTCCTGGTCATGGGTCAGGCGCTTCAGGCTGTTGCCTGTGTGGGTTGAGTGCACCCTCCTGTGTAGTTGGGCCGGGAGTGCTGTGGGCAGGCCAGTGGGTGAGGTCTGCCCTCAGGCTGGCTGGTTCTGTTCCCCATAATGTGAGGGAGAACCCATCCTCCTGGTGCAGTTCCCTCGTGGCATAAATCTGGGTGTGGTCCTGATCAGACCACAGCTCTGCCCCTCCCACTTGTTTCACTGTGTCTTCTTTATATCCTTGGGTGTAGGAATTCTACTCAGCGAGTCCTCAGGTCATTCTTGGCCCTGGTTGCTCTGTAGATCAGTGTAGTTCCAGGGTGCTCAGGGCAGTAGGGGAGGCCAGGATCTGCGCCTTGATCTCCGCCTCTGCACATCAGTTCTTCAGTATAGTCTCTGATACTGGTTGTAGTTGGGTTGATTGTTATATTCAGGTTGATGATTATAAATACTTTTAAATGTGGCTTGCCCCAGATCAGAGCTAATAAACAGTAGGATATCGAGCCCAACTCTGGGTCTTCTGCTTCGTACTGTTCTCTTTCCCTTCTGCTAAATAACATGTTAGCACTGTTTACTCAGGTCATTAAGAAAGACATTTTGGCCCTAGCTAGTTTGGCTCAGTGGATAGAGCGTTGGCCTGTGGACTGAAGGGTCCTGGGTTTGAGTCCGGTCAAGGGCACATGCCCAGGTTTCAGGCTCAATCCCCAGTAGGGGGCATGTAGGAGGCAGCCAGTCAATGATTCTCTCATCATTGATGTTTCTCTCTCTCTCTCCCTCTCCCTTCCTCTCTGAAATCAATAAAAACATATTTTTTTAAAATAGACATTTTGTATATCTTGGTCAAAAAGACAGAGAAGTGAATTGTACATTTCAGAAATAGTTTCACCCAAAAGTGTTAACTTTGAAAGCTTTCTGAGGCAGAGTGAAACCACTTTTATTCCTGCGTATTCTCTACATTCAATGGTTTTTTTTTTTCTAAATAATAATAAGACAACGGAAAAAAAAGAAAGCTTTCTGAAATCTTGACCTTTCAGAAAACTAGTTCATGAGGGTTCCATGAAAATACCTAATAGGTTCTGAGATTAGTTAAATGTATTAGTTTTTAAATCAGTTGTACTTCCTGATGCAGAATATAAATGAGCATTTCAAAAGTGAACATGAGGTCATAAAGTGCAACCTTATGTAACCAAAAGGTAACAACTAATCTTAATTCTGCCTTAAGTTTACAATAATTATTACCGGTTTATGTTTGTCTTGTAGGGGGATCTGTGGCTCATTTGCTCAGTAAGTATGGAGCCTTCAAGGAATCAGTGGTCGTTAACTACACTGAGCAGTTACTCCGTGGCCTCTCCTATCTCCATGAAAACCAGATCATCCACAGAGACGTCAAAGGTAGGGATTCTTTCATTGTTATTCCCTCGCAGTAAGTAGAAAACAACTGTAATTTTAAAACTTGGACCTTTGTCGATAGTTTCTAACGTGAAATCAGCTAGAGGATTGTTTCTCCTGAGTCACTCAAATCAACAGACCTGAAGGAATCTTCAGGGTCACGTGACCTGGCGTCCTCAGAGAGGCTGTGACTTTTCTGGAGCCACTGATGGGAAACCACGGACAGTCAGCTCTCCAGTCCCTCTTGATCTTAGAATGTACTGCCTCCCCAAAAGTTCCTGTTCCCAGTTTTATTTAGAATAATGGCAATATTATAAACTTTCAAGAAAAATCCTTTCCAATCTTTGCAGTTTAACAGCAGCTTTGATTTTGACATAATGTATTTAAGTAGTTTAATATTAATTTTTATTAAAGCTGTAATTATGAAACTACAGTAGTTTAAATTGGTCCAGGTCAGTATGTTTCAACAAAATGTTGTCTGAAAATGTAAATGATGGCCGAAACCGGTTGGGCTCAGTGGATAGAGCATCGGCCTGCGGACTGAAAGGTCCCAGGTTCGATTCCGGTCAAGGGCACGTACCTGGGTTGGGGGCACATCCCCAGTAGGAGATGTGCAGGAGGCAGCTGATCGATGTTTTTCTCTCATCGATGTTTCTAACTCTCTCTCTCCCTTCCTCTCTGTAAAAAAAAAAAAAGAATCAATAAAATATATTTTTTAAAAAATGTAAATGATGCTAAAATTTGAACTTTGAGGAAAGATTTTTGTTGAGAGTCATTTTTTTTCTTTCTTCCTTTTTTTTTTTTAATCCTCACCAGAGGATATTTTTCCATTGATTTTAGAGAGAATGGAAGGGAAAGGGAAAGACAGAGAGAAATGTCAATGTGAGAGAGACACATTGATTGGTTGCCTCCTGCACGTGCCCCGACCAGGGCCTGGGCTGGGGAGGAACCTGCAACTGAGGTCCATGCCCTTGACCGGAATCGAACCCAGGACCCTTTGGTCCGCAGGCTGACACTCTATCCACTGAGCAACACCAGCCAGGGCCGGGAACCATTCTATTGAAGGTTCAGCACTCGCCTCGTTTCGCTGAACCTCTGCCTGTCCCCTTGTGCCTGATGCCTCATCAGCCGTCTTGCTGAGGCTGAGGTGGTGCTTGTTTCACCTGCGGAGACCTGTGTGTCTTCGGCAGGAACGAGTGGGCCGAGAGGGGGCGTGACCGAGCCTCTGCCATGTGGTCTCCCTCGTCTGTGTCCTGGGTCACTGGTATTTCAGTGTGTCGTCTGCCCTTTGTGTTTAACACACACGCTCACTTGCCGTTTCCTCGACAGGTGCTAACCTCCTCATCGACAGCACAGGTCAGAGACTGCGAATCGCAGACTTCGGAGCAGCAGCCAGGCTGGCTTCAAAGGGAACTGGCGCAGGAGAGTTTCAGGGACAGTTGCTGGGGACAATCGCATTTATGGCGCCTGAGGTGAGAAGCAGCTTCGTGTGTGGCAGGAGAAAATATACCAAATTAGTTTGCAGTGTTATCCAATCTGTGCGCACAGTTAGAAGCCCATGACCCTAAGCATGAGGCTTTAATGATTCCTTAATTTCACACCCTTAATCCCTGCCTTTCCATTTTTGTCTTAACAAAATTTTAAAAGATAGGTTTTAATAGAGTTGCTTAAAGGCTATTTCTAATGAAGTCTTGTTGGGTAATTCATAGCAGTTGTTTTGTAGTAAACAAAGTATACCTGTTAGAGACTTTTTACATTGTTCGCTCTGCTCCAGAGGGAGGTGAGCACAGAGGCATGTCCTCCCGCAGAGGAGGAAGGTGAGCAGGAGCTGCTGTTGCTGTTCTGAACTTGGACTACTTCGTGGTCAGCCTCCTGGCGCTCCACAGTGATTCTCGCTGCCCTCTTGCCCCATAGCTTACTAAGTGCACTGGGCAGCGCTGACATTCTGTGATTTCTTGTGACTCTTCTGAATCTCACAATTCTCCAAAATATTGTTGTGTCCCATAGATTAATAAGCTCTTTCATGAAATAAATGAGACATCAGCTCATCTGCAGAGTTGCTGTTTGTATCTTGTTTTGCTCTGAAGTAAAAAGCTAGATTCCATAACTGCAGGGTGGCTTTCTGTTTTAAGTAAAACTCGCTTTCTTTTAGGTCCTCCGAGGGCAGCAGTACGGGAGGAGCTGTGACGTGTGGAGTGTCGGCTGTGCCATCATAGAGATGGCCTGTGCCAAGCCGCCCTGGAATGCAGAGAAACACTCCAATCACCTCGCTTTGATATTTAAGGTGATTATGAGATAAAAACGCTTTCCTTCTGCTAAAATTGGCAGCCAGCAGATATGCATGGGTTCTCCTGAACTGTCAGTCTGGCATGAAGGCACACCTTTCCTGGAATCACTGTGTGCACACCTGCAGAGCCGCCCGTGGCAGGTCAGGGCTGGCGCATGGACAGCCAGGCCTCACTCCTCCAGGCAGTGACGTTCTGTGATGTAATTGCAGACAATGAATTAGCAAACACTGAACCATTGCTCCCGACTGGAATAAGCACATAGATATCCCTGTCAGACTTTCAAATTTAAGAACTTGAAGCTCTTCACATATTGTATACAACCCACACGTTTTCTAGATTCCAGCTCACTACTTTCTACATTTTAAAAACACACCTTTGCCCTGGCCAGGTAGCTCAGCTGTCCCAATCCTCCAAGGTTCAGTCCCTGATCGGCACAAAAAGCAACCATGAATGCATCGATAAGTGGAACAACAAACTGATGTTCCTTTCTCTCTTCCCCTCCTCCCCATTCCTCTCTCTCTAAAATCAATTTTAAAAATTAAAAAGTCCGTTTCCAAATCCTGTCTGTTCTACCTTTCTGACAACTCAAGTCCATTCTGTTCTTTTCCACCAGAGATCAGTGCAGTGGTTCAGATTGTTAGCTTTGAGTCAGCCACATGCTGGTAAAAGATTGGGCTTGGGAGTCGCACAGGCCTATTCCAGCCCTGCTCCATCCTGTGGTAGCCACTGACCAGGAAATTCCTTGTTCTGTCTCCCGTTTTGTTGTGGTTGTTTGTTTATAAGGTGGGTGTGATACAGCACCTACTTCACAGGACTGTGATGAGGACACGTAGAATGAGCCCTCGGCCTGAGTAAAGCGCCCAGCACACACACTGACACTCACACACACTCCACTCCTGTGCGTGGCCTCTGCCTGTCATCTGTGCCTCCTGTCTTCCTCGGCGGCCTGACTGGCAGGGCTGAGTCTTTCTTGCTCTCAGTGCAGAGACAGTGTCTAGGAGAGCGAGTTCATCGAGTGAGCACTTCACCTCTGATCATTTGGATGCACTTGGCCTGCATTTGAGACGGTAAGGGACGGAGCAGATCCACCTGACAGGATGCAGTTGATCAAGTGCTAATGCCCTAAAGTTTGAAGGATTCTTAGAAAGATCCTTCCGTCCAATGGCGAGTTTCTGCCTCACACCGTTAGCAGAGTGTCCCCTGGTTTGCCCCTCCGTGTGGAGGGCGCCCATGCAGAGGCCACGAGCTCCACGCCCTGCACGTCCGGGTCAGGAGTCCCGCATGGGACGCTTCAGCCTGGTGTTTCTCCCACAGATCGCGAGTGCGACGACCGCCCCATCGATCCCGTCACACTTGTCTCCCGGGTTACGCGACGTGGCTCTTCGCTGCTTAGAACTTCAACCTCAGGACAGACCTCCATCCAGGGAGCTGCTGAAGCACCCGGTCTTCCGCACCACGTGGTAGCCAGCTGTGCAGACAGATGCACATGGACGGATGCTCAGTCAGAGAAACACGTCAGTGGGAACCACGGTGATAATCCGCTGGCCTTCCTGCCACTGAACAGCTATGAACAAGCCCATGGGGAGCCCTTACCTAAGTATGTGATTGACAAATCATGTCTGTACCTAAGCTGAGTCTGCAGAGCCCACACCTGTGCCGAACTGCAAATGGTGCCTTTCAGGGACTGGCCCTCGGCAACAAGACAGCAAGGAGTTTGCATGACTAAGTAATAGAAGCATAGTTTTATGATTATTTCTCTCGGAGCACTTTTTCAGCAATATTAGCAGCTGAGGGGCTCAGGATCTGTTTTACTGTCTCAACTACTCTTCCATTTCGTATCGCAATCACAAGCAGGGGTCTGCTTTCATGCAGTTTTTTGTCACTGGCAATATAAATCAGTATCTGCCTCTTTTTAGGTCAGACTATGCTATAAGTAGCAGTAAAGAAATATATTTTTTAAAGTTGATAACTTCTTTATGACCCACAGTTGACCTTTATTTTTTAAAAGCCTGGGCAATTGTGGCTCATTGTGCATTTTACTGTTGGCCCATTCATTTCGTTTTTGGAAATTATGGTTCTATGTTTTCATTTCACCTTCATTTTTTTGTTTAATATTCAGGGAAAGGTGATCTTTTCAATCCAGAAAAAAAAAAAAAAAAATAGAACTAAGCGTGAACTAGTTTGTTGAATATCTTGCTGTGGCAAGAGTTTTTTAATACAGAATTTTGTTTGTTTTTTTAAAATTGGGTTTTACTACTACCTTCATCAAGTCCATCACTGCTCTTCTGGTGCAGGTTAAACGTGAATTCAGAGAAAAGCAACTGTTCTCTGTGAGGCCGCACAGCCAAGATCAAGATCACCTTGGAATCTGAGTTTCTGTAATTGGTTTCATTTGTAGGAAGCTTCACCAACTAAGTCTCACTCGTGTGGAAATCGCCACTGCTGGTGAGCAGGGAGCTGCTGTTTTCCTTCTCTTCACAGGCGGCCCTGGTGGAGAATGAAAGGAAAATTAACTTCATTCCTCAACCACCAATGAGTAATAGTGTTTTTAAACTAGACGTTTGCTTTGAACTTGGAAAATGTCCTCATAGAAAAGTGAATTGAATTTCAGTTACAAACTAATTCACTGGATCCTGCACAATTATCTAATGGTTTTCGTCTCAGTTGAATTCGGATCCTGAAGGAAAATGGCAGCTCTTTATCCTTTTTTTTGTGAGTCTCTAAATCAAGTACTGATTAAGTTTTAACTCTTCAGAAGCCAGTTGAATCATGGCAGGGTGAACTAGAATTGGTTATTCTCAAAGACTCAGGATAAACTAAATAAGCTACACAGATTACATTTTAAATGTACATCACAAATTGGAAGTCACAAATAACTTACCAGGTTAAGTTTACAGGGATATATTGCATATAATTTTTAAAAGGCAGTTTTTAAAAATGTGAATGTGTTTCTTAGTGAAATTTTACATTCCTTTGTTTTGGAAGATTGGCAATATTTGAAGAGTTAAAAATAGTACCGAAATGTGAAGTTTGGTAGCTCTAAATGTGTTGTACTTGACTTTCTTTTTTATTTCCTCTGTGTTGACTACTTGGCATTTTCGCAGTCTAATGAGATTGTCTCGAGTCCCACGTGCAGGCTTTAAAGGATGCACTCTTGCCATTTTATTACTGGAAGATCACTGGTCAGACAAACCCGGTCTGACAGCAGCGTGAACTGTGTACATGAGGAACCCAGCGCATCAGTATTACTCTGCAGATCACCATGCCCGCCGGAGCGCCAGCTCAGACAGCGCAGCATGTCGAAGCCCATTGTTTGAGTGTGTGTGCAGGTCCCTCAGCTTGCTGGTAATTGTGGTGTTTTGTTTCGTTTTTGTTTTCAATGCAAATGTGATGTAATATTCTTATTTTCTTTGGATCAAAGCTGGACTGAAAATTGTATTGTGTAATTATTTTTGTTCTTAATGTTATTTGGTACTCAAGTTGTAAATAACGTCTACTGCTGTTTATTCCAGTTTCTACTACCTCAGGTGTCCTATAGATTTTTCTTCTACCAAAGTTCACTTTCACATGAAATTATATTTGCTGTGTGACTATGATTCCTAAGACTTCCAGGGCTTAAGGGCTAACTTCTATTAGCACCTTACTGTGTAAAGCAAATGTTACAAAAAAAATCTCTGGGTTAAGAAAATTTGGCTTAAAATGTATCCTTTGTTATTTTAAATATATCCAGATATTTTAATTAAAATTTTTACCCCATTGAACCAATTTTATAGTATTTGTACCTATTTTGGTGTTTTGTCTTTATAGTAAATAAAAGTTTTTGGACAAAGGTGGTTACTTTTACTGACTTTGAAATAATTTCATACTTATAAGGAGGTTGTGAGAGCACCACAAAGAGCTCATCTCCCAGAGGCCTTGCTTGGGTTTTGCCGGCTGCCCAGTTATGTCCTTGAGAGCGAGAGCCAAACCAGTCACGTGCTGCTCTCAGGTGTCCTGTTCCTTCGGTCTCATTCCGCCCAGAGCTATTCCTGACCATTACGTTATACACGTCCACACAAATATCCCAGCTCCAGACACCATAGGTCAAATTCAATCAGTTCTATTCACATCTCTTTTGATACACTATGGTATCTTTTTTTAAATTTTTTAATATGGCATTTTTTAAAAGCATGACATCCGCCTCCTTGTTCCGCTTGTTGGGAGAACGAAGGTTCCCTCGCCGCTGTCGGGCACAGCCACGACTCCATCTGCCCGAAGCAGAGACGTGATGTCACTCCTGCGGCGGGTCCAGTCTCAGGTCACATCTTGTGGTTGCAGTTTCTACTTTGTCCTTCACAGCTCTGCTCCGCAGCGGTCTCTCCCACGAATCAGAATCAGAATCAGAATCAGAATCAGAATCAGAATCAGAAACGCGCGGGAAGAGGCATCACTGAGGAGCTGAGCGCACCAGCCCTCCGCGTTTCTAGGTTAGGTTTCTGTAGAAAGGGCACGTGTTCGTCTTTTTAGGAAAATACTAACTGCAGGCTACCCAGAACCGCACAATGTCGGGTCTCACGCCTGCACGGCAACGCCGGAGAGCGCGGCAGGCCCGCTGTAGAGCAAACAAACAGGCTGCCGCCTCCCACGTCAGGGCCGTCTGCGGGCTGTCTCACTTCATGTCTGCACGTCGGGGAGGTGCCCAGGGGCCTGGTGGCCAGGGCTCCGGCAGAACCTGGGTTGGATCTGGCTCTGCCACTTGCCAGCCGGTAACCAACCCGTGACTTCGGGAGCCTCCCTTCTGCACTGGAAGAGGAAGGGGCCGGTGCTGGGAGGCAGAACTGACGCCGAGGCCGGTGCCAGGCACCCTGGTGCGCAGAACCCGCTTGTACGATGAGCGGGCGCCCAGCCGGTGCAGGCTCACGCCCGTGGGGCCAGTGTCCTCAGCAGGTGTTCGAGCCAACTGGTGTCTAAGGGGCCGCGCGTGTCCCCCAGCCTCCAAATTTCCAAAAGCAGCTGGAAATCCAGGTGTTATGTGCCGTCTCCTGCCGTCTAAGCGTCGGAAAGGGACTTACGACCTGCAGCGCTACGTCACCTCGTGCGCTGGGTGCGGCCTCTGACCGGGGTCCAGGCTCCGGCGACAAAAAGGAGACCGGGAGGGGCGCGCGGCGTCGGAGCCCCGCCGGAACCTGCTCCTCCGAGAGCAACGAGAGGCGGCGGCGGAGACGGAGACGCTCATGGCGGCACCGGAGAGCGGCCTCTGCGGGCTTCCTGTCCACGCGCCGCCGCGACGGGCTCATCGCGGAGGCCGGGCTGCCGCGCCAGGGCCCAGGCCTGCGGGGGTGGGTGCGCCGGGAGGGGCGGTGAGCGCGGCAGAGCCCGGGGCCCGAGGCCTTCCTCCCGCGCCGAGGCCCCGTTCGGCGTGTTTCCGAGACGGCGTTTTCCCTTCGGGCCGCGGCTCGACGCGCCTCTGCACCCGGGGCGGGTGGGGCGGGGGCGGAGGCGGAGGCGGCGCGGAAACGCTCCCTGAAGAGCCTCCTCCCCGCGCGGACCGAAGGCCGACCGGCCGACACCCGCGCTTCCAGCTCAGAATGAGACCAGCCGCTTCCGGTCGGGATGGCGGCGGCGGGGACGGCCCCTCCCACCCCCGCGTCAACGTGACCACCAGCCGGAGCCCGACCCTCCAGAGCCGCCCGGACCGAGGCCCGGAGCCCGGGGCGCGCCGGCCTGGCCCAGCGCCGAGCCGAGGGCGGGACTCGCGCCGCCGCTCCGCCCCCGCCGGGCGCGCCGGGGTCCGGGCGCCGCGGGGCCGCCATGCCGGGCCGCCTGCTGCGGGGCCTGCGGGGCTGGTGGCGCCGCTACAGGTACCGCTTCGTCCCCTGGGTCGCGCTGAACATCAGTCACAACCCCAGGTGAGGACGGGGGCTCGCGGGGCGGGGACCCCTTCAGCCGGGAGGCGCCCTGAGGCCCGCGGGCCCGCGGTGGGCGGAGCCTAAAGCAGCAGCGCTTCCGGTGGCCGCAGGCCTTGGTGGGTGGAGCCTGAGGTGGGCGGAGCTGCTGGGAGGAGGCGCTTCCGGCTGCCGGTGGGTCTGAGGCCGCAGGCTCGTGTGGGCGGGGCCCGAGGTGGGCGGGGCTACGGCTGAGAACGCCGGAGTCGGTGGGCCGGGGGCTGCTCGGGGGCGTGCGGCTTCAGATGGGCGTGGCCTGGGGCCTATTTCCCGTCGTGCCCCGCGCTGCCAGGTCGGCCGGTAGGGGTCGCCCGCGGGCGGCGCGGACTGGGCTGCCGGCTCCAGGGAAAATACTGAACTTTTGAGGAGGGAGACGCCTGCAGCGCGAGGAGCTGGAGCCCCTCGGAAAGGCAAACCGAGGTGTTGCGGTGAAAGCACCTCCGCCCGCGGTGCGGGGAACGGCCCGGAGTGGCGGGTGCCTAGAAAGGAGCCGGAAAACCCTAAAACGCGGAGGGTGGGTGCCAACACGGGTCAGCGGGGCGACGCCTCACGGAGCGGCGAGCGCGCGGGGACGAGCCCTCGGGGCGCCCAGGGCAGCGATGAGTGACCCGTTCCCGGCGGAGCGTCACCTCCCTTCGCGGACAGGAAAGCGCCGCGTCCTCGGGGGGGCGCCCTCCCGGGGGAGCGACAGCGCGCAGGACGCCACTGAACGTGGTGCCGGAAGCCACGCCCCGGGGAACCGTCACGTGAGGATGCTCCGTGGCCTCACGTGACGGCTGTGCGTGCTGCCCCCCTCCTCCGGGCGCCTCCGTCCCTAAGGCCGCCCCGCCGGTTCCCTGGCCGGACGCGTGTGGCACCCAGCGGCGCTGGCGCGGACGGGCCTTGGGCGGCCGGTCGTCCGCACTGGGTCGGGCCGCGGGGAGCTGGGCGGCGCCACCCCGTCACTGTAGGGCAGCGGTTCTCAACCTTCCCAACGCCGCGACCCTTTAATGCAGTTCCCGGTGTTGTGGTGGCCCCCAACCATAAATGTTATTTCTGTTGCTACTTCACAACTGTAATGTTGCTGCTGTTGTGACTCGTCATGTAAATATCTGACATGCAGGATGTATGTTCATTGTTACAATGAACATAATTAAAGCATCGTGATGAATCACAAAAACTATGTAATTATAGATGTGTTTTCCGATGGCCTTAGGCGACCCCTGGGAAAGGGTCGATCGACCCCCAAAGGGGTCCGGCGGCCAACGGCCTCTCCCGTTGCAGGACCCTGCGCTACGTCCCCGCGGAGCTTGAGGACAAAGTGGTGCCGGACGCCGAGGTCCTGGGGACGCTGCTCGCCGTCTTCCGGGCGCTGTTCGCCAACGCCCTCCCCCGGCAGCGGGACGTCCTGGCGGCGCTCCCGGAACCCGTTCGGTCCAAGTACCAAGACCTGCTGTCGGCTCAGCCTCCGGGGGCGCCCGTGCTCGGCCTCACACCCCAAGACGTTCTGTACCGGACCCTGGGCTTCAGCGTGGCCCGCGCGGCCAGCTCGCTGGCGGCCGCCGGGAGGGGCGTCTTCGTGGCGGCGGGACGGGCCCCGCGGGGCGCCGTGGTCGGCATGTACCCGGGTAACGCACCGCGGGCGGCCGGGCGGTCTCCCGCTGACGAACACGCTCGGAACCAGAGCCAGCCCGTCCCCCTGACCCTGGGCATGAGCATCGGAGACTCGATTGCCTCCGATTTTTAAGGCCCGGTTCGGAAATGAGCTGCTTGCTCATGACCTTAGGCTAGAAAGTGCCCGTGCGCGCTGGTTGGGATCCGCGCACTCTCTCTTTTAAGGACATGTTTCTACTCAATGTTTAAATTTAGGAGAATGTGGTACGGCCTGCTTTGATCAGACATTACTTAGAAAGCACTAGAGAATAAGTCAGTTTGGTTCAGATAAGTGTAAAACAGGGGTTGAAACATAAAAGGTAGAACTTAAACTCATCCATCACTGAATAGCCCCGCCTGGTGTGGCTCAGTGGACAGAGCGTCCCTCTGCGGACTGAAGGGTCCCAGGCTCCATTCTGTCGGGGCACAGGCCTGGGTTGTGGGCGCGATCCCCCGTAGGGGGCGTGCAGGAGGCAGCTGATCAGTGATTCTCTCTCATCATGGATGTTTCTCTCTCTCCCTCTCTGAAATCAATAAAAATATATTAAAAATAAATAAATATATCACTGAATAAAGGCCTTCCTGCCACTTCTACATTGGAAAGTAAGCAGCTTCGTTGCAGGAGATGATGAACTAGTTCAGCGGACGCCGACCGGTGGTCCTGAGGTCTGGCAGGTTGGCGACCGCTGAACTAGGATGCTAAGATGTGTCATGTGATAAGCTGGTGTAGGGTTTGGCAAAACGGAAAATACATGTGGATGCATAAGTCAGACCCACGTTTCCAAAAAGTCCTTTGACCATTTTCTAATTGCCATCCCTGAGTAAGCCAGGCTCACTTTCTTTCACACAATTAACTGTAAAGACTGAACGGAACAAGCCAGCAACAAATTAACACTGAAACAAGCGCAGTGGATCCACATGCCCGGAACCAAGCGGCGCCAGCGTGTGTCCCTTCTCCTTTGCCAGTGAAAGGAGGGACAGCCAGGAGGCCAGGCTCATCTGTTCCCGCGTACGGCCGCATTGTTGTCATGGACAAAACATTTCTTAGAAGAGGCGTTGATACATGTCTAATCACACTTCACTAAAACAAACAAACAAAAACCACAAAGCAGCACGGCCAGGGGCTGAGCCTCGACCTGTGAACCAGGAGGTTTCGGTTCAATTTCCGGTCAGGGCACAGGCCCAGGTTGCAGGCTCCGTCCCCAGAAGGGGGCGTGCAGGAGGCAGCCGATCAATGATTCTCATCATTGATGTTTCTATCTCTCCTTCTCCCTTCCTCTCTGACATCAATAATATATACATATTGAAAATACACACACACAGAAAGCAGCCCTGGCTGGGTAGCTCATAGGGTTAGGGTTAGGGTTAGGGTTAGGGTTGCAGGTGTGATCCCTTATCAGGGCACATACAAGAATCAGCCAACGAATGCATAAATGAGTGGACCAGCATATCGAGGTCTCTCAAATGAATTAAAACAAAAACCCCGTGATTGTACAACAGAGTCTGAAATGTGTTCACATTTTTGTTAGCCAAGGCACATTTCCAGCTGCGCGGACATGTTGGTTCTGTGCTCTGTCTGCTATTGGGCCCCATTCAAATGGTGAGATTGCCAGAGAATGTGATGGTCTAACTTGGAGGTAAAATATTGGAGAAAAGTGTGAGAAATTAAAACAAGTTCTTACATGTTATGTATATGGTCCAGAGACAGGTGCTTACCATGGTGTTAGTGGGTTTTACATGTTGCTGCAATATCCCTTTGTCTTGTTGCATGACAGGTACAGTATATCAGAAATATGAGCCAATCTTTTTCCAGTCTATTGGGAATCCATTTATTTTTAGATGCTTGGATGGCGTGCTCATTGATGGAAATGACAAGGGAATATCGAAAGTCGTGTACAGGTAAGTCGGTGCCTGTGTGTAAACTTCATTAGAGGAGACGAAACCACACAGCAATGACTGTGACCAGTAGCCTTGGTTGCCCTATTGACTAAAGTGGTTTTGTAAGAGAAATTGCACTTTCTCAGTTGTAGGGTTAATTTTGTGTTTTTGAATTTTAAGATTCAGAAGAACAACCTCTTGGCTAATGCTCTCGCCTGTTTCAGATCTTGCAATGGAAGGGACCGACTTGGCCCTTTAAGAATGAGTGATAGCACTTGGCTAACATCAGAAATTCAGAACCCTCTGGCAGTAGGCCAGTATGTCAACAACTGCTCCAGTGGTAAGTGGGCACCACGTGGTGAGAGAGACCGAGTAAACACACACACAGGCATCCCAAAAATGTAGATACACTGACAGCTGATTTCTATGACATTTTGAAAATGAAATATATTTTAATAAACTCTGCCCTTATAATTATTCAAAGTGCATATGCATTTTGGGGGGACACTTATATATATGTTTTTTACATAGAAAGTCTAGCAGTGCCTAGAACATAATAGGGATTATTAATTTGAGCATATTCTCATAATTTAGAAACTCATTCAAGTGTCATAATTCAGTACTGCTTTCCATGGCTAGTGAAACGGCTGTGTCTAAAAATTACATACCTGCTCCCAGACAGACCAGCGAATGTCTGCTATCAGGAGTTTGACGTGCCCGCGGGGTTCCCTGTGGAACTGAAGCAGTACCTTCCCAACACCACCTACAGCTGTGCCCAGCAAAGGTGAGCCTCCCGCTTGTCCCGAGCTGTGAAAAATAACTTAGATTTTTACATTCTTCACACCTTGATGTGTTAATGTAAACTTACTTGAAAATAAAAATTCTCCATGAGCTTATTTGCTCATCCTTCTTCTTATTGCCCATTTTTATTCTAGGTAGTACTTTACAAGTATCAACCTTAAAGTTTTTTTCAAGTGATTCTGTTGTTTTTTCCAGCTACAAAGAACGTTTTTACTCTAGTCATTTTAAGGGTTGCGTCTCCACCTGGCATGAGAGGACCTAGCTGAAGGGGCCAAATTACACGTGATTTCTTTTGCTCTTTCCACTATTAGATTTGGAAACCTGATCGTGAAAGAGTAGGCCAACTATATTTAAATTAAAAAATAAAATTTTAAAAATAGTGAAAAAAGGGAAATACTCAGAAGATAACATTTGTATTACAGTATAGCAATTTTCTGCCCAGTAAGTCTACTAGAATACTCAAGTAACAGTTTTTAATAAATGATTCTGTGGAGTTATCAACAATGCTGTAGGAAATGTAATCTTTGTATCATGTCACTGAGTTGCCATTTGTTAGCAAACTTAATTTTGTGTGGGTCCTAGTGCCCTCTTGGAATGAATGGTATTTACAACTGAAGACTGTTCCCTGTACTTAAAACTTGGTAACTTTTCTCCGTGTGTGCTGGGTATTTAGGTTTTCTTTAACATCCTCTGGGGCATAACTCGCTACTACCCAGCCAGTACAGGAAACGCTACGTGAGTAGGAACATTGAAGATTACACCTCTTGCCCTGGCCGGTGTGCTCAGTGGTTAGAGAGTCGGCCGCACATGGGACAGTCGGTCTTGGGTTCGAAACCCCATGAAGGGCACATACTGGGTTGCAGGTTCGATCCCCAGACCAATAGGGTATGTGCAGGAAGCAACTAGTCGATGTGTCTCTCTCACATCAATGTTTCTCTCCCTCCCTCCCTCCCACTCTCTCTAAAAAAAAAAAAAAAATCAATGGAAAAGGTATCCTCAGGTGAGGATTAACAAAACAAAAAAAGATGACATGTCTTGTTGTGTCCATAAAAAGTATTTGTTAATCCAATTAATTTCAATTAATGTTTCTAGCTTTGCAGAATACAAACATACAAATTTTAAAATGCTAAACTTATAATGAATATCACTTTTAAACGCTTTTTTGGTGATACCAGTTTTGAGGACCTGAGCATCAGTGTTCAGAAGTAGTCAGTTGTATAAACTTATTGATCTGTCCTAGCTGGTGTGGCTCAGTGAATAGAACATCAGCCTGCGGTCTGAAGGGTTCCAGGTTCGATTCCAGTCACGGGCACATGCCCAAGTTGGGGCTCGATCCCCAGTAGGCAGGAGGCAGCCGATCAATGATTCTCTCTCATCATTGATGTTTCTCTCTCTCCCCTCTCTCCCTTCTTCTCTGAAATCAATAAAAATATATTTTAAAAAAGAAAATTTAAAAATGAACTCATTGACCTGTGGTCTTTTTAAATGACATGTAGTCTACTTTTAAACACCTCCGTCAGGGACAGCTATTGCCTCATGGAGATCAAGTGCATCAGCTAAGAAGGTAGGAAGGGAGTGGACCCGAACTGGTGAAATGGCCCGCGGGGTCAGCACTGACGGTGCTTCTCGCTTTCAGGCCGCTGCGCTGTGTCGTTCTCGTCGCTCTCAGGGACATCAGACAAGGAGAAGAGCTTTTCTCAAACTACTACACGATTGTCAGCTGACTGAATAAGGATCGGATTTTCCATTCAATTAATGTTAATATTTTGGTTAATCACTTCTGAATTCCAGAGTGGGAATTTATTTCTATTTTGTTTCAATTCCATGATAAAAATTATTTGCTCAACTTCAAGTTTGCAGTGCTATTCCAATTTTCATTTTCACCTAAATTCAGTAATTAAAACCTGCCTGAATTTATAATTTCAATTTTTCTTTTAATATATCATGTCCATATACGTGTGGTTATAAAATTTTAGCCAAGTTATCAGCAATTATTTTACTGTTGCTGTATATGAACTTCTGAAAAATGTTTTTACAGAATAAACTAAAGCCGAACATTTTTTGTTGCCATGAGTTAACTGGTGTGTGTGTAAAGATCGTTTTAGCTAAGGGAGAAAGGGCGGGGATCATACCATTGTCTCTGCACATTTACACAGAGATTAAAACAGCATGAGCCTGTTTGGCATGTGGGGGACACCGGCACGAGCTCTCCACGTGGCGTCCTCCACGCGTGTGAATGCCGAGTGCGCCTAGCGAAGAGCCCGTGCCCGCGTGCATCAGGGCCAGAGGCCTGGGAGAGGTCAGAGCAGCCCCAGGCTCAGAGCCTGCCACTGATGGCGATTGTGGCCCAAAGAGACGAGGCCTGCAAGTCACCAGATGATTCTGCTCCTGCCCGAGGCCCGAAACACTATGCAGCTCTCACTTCACGGGCACTTGGCTGCCTTCAGATGCCGCCCAGGGGGCAGTGTCCCGAGCCCTGCACAGCGACGCTGGTGTCTGCGGGTGAAGGAATGTGGTTTTAGACAAGTAACCAGAGCTGGGGAGTCAGGGTTTCGTTTCCATTTTCCCTCTCCTGTCCTTACACAGAATCCGGACATCGTGTGCCCTCAGATCAGAGAGACTAAGGGAGCCACAGAGAAAGCTCTGGTCAGAGCAAGGGACATGGGGGACGCCTGGGAAAGATAAAGGCTTAGGGAAGTAGTTCTAGAGTCGACTGAATGTGACTATTATGAAGAAAACTACCATAAATATGTCAAATAATGTGACCAAATTTCAGGTCTCATGTCTTCTTAGAAGCCACTTAGACCAGTGTTGGAAACATTAAGATGTTCATTAAATATTTCCTGAATTAAATTTAAAGCATAATCCTCACTTTGGGATGGCTAATTTTATTATAAATGAAAATTATTATAGAGAATTTACAGAAAACTTACCTCATCTACCAAATACCTTATTTACTCCGTCTAAAACCAATTTAATAGTGTGTCATAGCTTAAGACTCATTAAATAGAACCTACTTGTGGCAAATATTCACACAAGCCAAGAAAGAAAAAAAAGATTTCCAGATGTTTATTTCTGGAACTGTACAGGTATTAAAGTACAACAAATACAAAATAATGCTCAAAAAAATCAGTGTTTATGTACAAATATTAAAATCAATGCAACAATAGCAACTTCCTCTTGAATATCTGTTACTAAGACTTGTTCTGATTGTCACTAATTCATTTCACTCACAGGGTACTTAGCTCAAACTGGAACCATTGGATCACTGGTTTTCTAAGAGGAATTTTAATATCTACCATATTTAATAAAACTAATAGCTTCCTCCTTTTAGTGAAAAATTAAGAACTTTTTAAAAAACATAGTAATGTCAATATTCTTATAAATTATTTCAATCTCCATTTGTAGACAATGTGCTTTGAAACTGGGCAAACAATCTCCTTGGTGGTCAGGTTCTTCCATTAGTTTACATTCAGAGTTGCAAGAGTCACTGGAGACTTTGGTTAAATTCAATAGTTAAAATCACTCTGCTCTGGGAGAGCCGACGTCCAAACACTCAGGACCCTCAATCGTACAAATTACTAGGAAACCATTGCACAATGCTTTGACCTAATTGTACACACTTTAGTATCGTGTAAAATTACTCTACATCCTTCAAGTAAATTCAGCAGCTGACCGAGGAGCAGGCGCGGAGCAGCGCAAGCTCAGCTGCCGGGAAGTATTGCTCGAGTCGCAGCACCATCGCACCCACCACTGTCCCCAAGTCTCCGCAGAAAAGACGCATCGGCCACGCTGCAGCCGCTCACCATGGGTTTTTGGTTTGTTCATATGAAAATAACACAGCGAAGGAAAAAACAAAAAGAACTTATCACCGTTTGTCACAGAATTGTGCTTAGCACTTGATAATAAAGGCATCGCTGTCTCTTCATCTGACTGCAAATCCGTTATCTTCATGCTCTCAAACGCAATTCTTCTGATAAACAGTAACAAATTCTGTGTTAAGATGCCTCAATGGAGAGGGGGAAACAGTCAATCCAGCTTTTAAAAGAAAATTCAATAAATAGCTATTTTACATGGACAAAGTGGTATAGTTTATGTATGTCACATCAAGCATGCACAAAAATGGTATTATACATGGCAGACGCAGTCAAAAAATACGGAATCAGATCTAAAAAGACAGGAAGAATTTACACATATATACAAAAATCTTGCAGATTATTGCCTCATTTTAATAAGGAATTAAAAGTAAACATGGCCAGCCTGCCAGCACTCTCTAAGAGGCTGAGCCAGCTTGGCATTTAGACATCTATGAAACTAGCTGGAGTTTATGTTTCTCTCATATCATTTTCTGAATTTTGGTCAAAAATCTTTATTCAGATAACTAACGTGTCCATTCCACTTGCTGATCAGCAAAACCTGCGATAAGAAACACCGTTTCCATCTTGATCGGGCCCCAGCAATGCATAGCTACACTGACTAGACCGTGGCGCCGGCCAGGAGCGTGCTCTCATAGCGTGGCTGGTGTTAGCGCTGGACCATCTCTGTAAATTACGTCACACCGACCAGCCACTGTAAACCTAGGGAAAATTAAAGTCGTAACAATGGAAGATTATGGCCAGTATCTTACTAAATCATAGAAGTTGTACTGATTCTTAACAAAAGAATTAAGGTCCAAAGCTTAGCACACCACCACAGCAGTCAACACTGACAGCGCAGGTAACGCTGACAGCAGCTACGGGCAGCACGCAGCCCAGGCTGCCCTAGCTGCTGTGGGCACACAGGAACGCTAAGCTTCAGATCTATAAATTAGAGACTGATTTTAAGTTATTAACTTACCTACTTTTGTCCACTGTGCTAAACTAAAGTTTATGGTCAATGTGCTATACTGTGTAAACACTTCAAAGCAATCTTCATTAAAATGCTGCAAAGAAAACAAGACTACGCTTCATCCAAACCCAGGATGTCATTGCAGTTCACAGTCTGTGTAATAAATACCCTCCCTGCCCACACGGCTAAGGTCGCTACCATCTACCTACACGCCAGCACCACCTCGAGGTGACGTAGGCTCACACGGTCGGCAATGCGGCCACACGTTTCAGCCGCCTGCAAAGCAAGACACTCGCAGAAACAGAAGATTCTAAAAGCGGTGCAAATAGAAAAGTAAGTCTGTGTCTTAACTGAAATATAAAAGCAAAGCTCAGTCCATCCTAACACTGTATTGCATGTTGTGAGTTCCCCTTATCACTTCGATGCAGGTCAATGGAGCACAATGGCCAAGGTTTATGACAACAGCTTCTCGCTCACATGATGTCTGCGATGGAAGTCAAACTGAGCCGGGCGCGTCTGAGTGCCTAAACCTGTTTGTAACTGAAAGTGGTCAAGTACCGTCTAGTTCAGGTCGTAACTCACATTTTTCTTGTCACCTGTTCAAATTAAACAAAACATGTAAGTCTACTTGAAGGTTCTCCTGCCGCATATGGAACCCCGACGTCCCTCCTCGGCATTCACGCTGAACTGCAGTGCTGCCAACGCGTCCCACCATGTAAACAGGAGCCTGCCCGCCAGGCCACTGCCCGGGACAGACTCCGCCACCGGTGGCCTGTGTGGCTTTTCCAATCACACTTGACCAGGGTGGACAAAGCCCATCTGGATGCACATCTTCACACGCCCGATCTGTAGCAATCAATGAAGGTCACAAATCTCCCGACAGTAAAACAAGCCATTCTGCGGACGGGGCCCTGGCCGAGAATCCAGAAACATCCGAGTGTCTGCGCTCTGCGCCCCGCCCCTCGCCAGCTCCCAGAGGTGGACGTGCTGCCTGTAAACGGAACAGCACGAGAAGTTTCCATTTTAAAAACCCTTGCATGTCTGTGCAGTTTTAAGAAACCTACCCCTGCTTTTGCTTAATTAAGAAAACCAAAAAATGCTACATTTAGCAGGGATCAGGGTCGGCACCTGTAAACACTTGTTCCACTGCATCCGTTACGGCAAAAGGAACTTAAACGAGAAGCCACTCCATTCGGTCCTGAGCATGTGCTGGTTTGGAGCTGGTGGCCTGTCTACAGGTTTTAAACGCGGGAGCGTAAGAGACTGGAAAGGAGGGGAGTGGAGAGGCCTGGGAGGTGAGAGAGAGCAGAGCTTAAAGCTGCACTGGAGTCCAATCTTCCTTCCCAGCTCTGCTGCTCATGGTTTTCCACATTTATGGATTGAGAAATGAAAATACTCTTGATAAATCAAGATAGAGTTCTATACATGCTGACATCACTGACGTCATAGTGAAAACGTTCAAGCTTCCAGTGAAAGACTAAGCCAGCCCAACGTGTCCTCGCGCTCCCTGGGCTGCAGGCCGCCGCCGGTCACTCGGAGTGGAGGGCGGCCTGCTGGTGCAGGGCGTGGGCACTGATGAAGCCATTGGCCTCGCTGGTAGACAGGCTGCCAAAGTCAGCCACGGACACGGCCATTTTGGCACTGGCGATGTGATGTGTGTGGCTTTCAAAGTCCACACCCAGGTTATTCACAGAAACCTCACTCATGAAGGGTTCAGGAACAGCAAGGCCCATTTTCAATCTCTTTGCTGGCCTTTCGGAATCCTCACTGCACAGGGTCATGGGGTTCAGCTCCGAGGGGTAAAACCCAGTCTCAAACAGGTTAAAGCAGTCGCTCTCCCCGTTGCTGGGCAGGGCGAGCAGCTCCTCCGTCACCACAGGCACGGGAGTCACTGGGCCGCGGGGCATGCTGCCCAGGGGAGGAAAGCCCTCCTCCACGCAGCTCACAGCCCCGGGGGTCGCTGCACTGCCGGTCAAGGCTGGAAAGGAAGGAAAGGAAAGGGTTAGGTGCTGGTCCGATGCCCTGGAGGAGAGGACTCCAGGCCAGAGCTCAGCAGCAGGGGCCGCTTTACCTGTCAGGTCCCCTGCGGTGAGGGAGTTGAGGATGTTCAGCTGCGGGTCAGGCACGGGGTCGGGGCGGGCGGCGGTGGAGCCGGGAGAACTGGCCGTACCCCCCAGGGCCTCTGTCTCGTCCACCAGGCGGTCCATGTAGTCGGTCACGCCGGGGTGGTGGTTGTAGCGCTTCTT